TTAAACATCTTGTGTATATATATCAAGGCGGAGGGGACCAGTGGGCGTCGTCGCTCGAATCAACATGGCAACGAATAGTGTCGGACGCCGATCGAGTACAACGTCTAGGGCTTTCGCTACCAGAACTCCGTTACGTGGTGAACCATATATGGATTCCTCGATTGCGCTACCGCATGGTTCTTGGCGGGTCCGTAGACGTAGCAGCAAAGGTGAATATATTAATCCGTCAAGTGGCGAGATCGGTGCTACGACTGCCGTTTAACGTGAATACAGCTGTGTTCTATGATAAAGAGAATGGCCTGGGTCTGGAAAGCTGCGAGTCTGACGCGAATACGTACCGCTTAGTGGAGGCGCTACGTATCTTAAACTCACCGTCTCTCCCGGTCCGTCATGTTCTGACAGAGTGTTTAGAGGCTTACCAAACCCGAGCTGGATTGACACGGCACCCGCTAGCTTACTCCATCGCACCACCGAGAGGTGCTAGGTCTTGGACTGCTCAGCTGATCCGCCACGCAGCGTCGTTTGATCCACCGCTCACCATAGCAGTGGAGTGGACACAGCTACTCCAAACCCGATCTAGCCGTAGCAATGATCGACCTCTCATCGACTACACTCCCCCGGAGCAGCAGTGTTCTCTCGTCGCCATCAACTGGAAGGCGGCGTTCAAATTGCGCTACGTCGGCGATATCTCTAACGTTTCCGGCACACAAATCATGAAGCTACCGGAACTGATGAGAAAGGGTCACTGGTCGGTTAACGATCGCATCACTCTGGAGAGCATGTACGATCACTGGGTAGAGGGCTTAACGAGGCCAGATACCAACCGTCTCCGTAGTCCAGTCGGTTGTACTCCGGTAGAACTTGGTTCGACTCCATTCCAACTACGCATTGGGGTGGGTCAGTGGATAGTTGTGGTGAAGATGAATACTAAAGGTACGGAACCAGTAATTGACCACTATGAAATCGGCTACAGAGAAATCGGTGACATGGGTAGTCATCCCCTCGGCCGTACAATTCCGATCCGATGGTGGTATGAACGCCCCCGCGGAAGAGGCGTGCTCTACGAGCGCCGACATCGGGTCGTGGAAGTTGAATTCGAGGCAGTCTGTGTACCTATCTCACCGACCTACCTACCTACGATGCCATCGCGCCGACAGCGGGTTATCATCTGGGATACAACTTGCGTCGACGGCAAGCACGGTGTCAATAATGACGAAGTACTGGACGAAGCCCTTGCTAGAAGCCGCATGCGCTATCTATCTGTTATCCACCACGGTCACACGTTGGAAATGTCGACAGCCTGCTCGATATGTGGCTGGTACCGAGACGCACAATGTTGTCGTGAGTGTGGGCGGTGGCACCACCCTCAATGTGTACGTGGGAGCTGTCGTGTGATAGGAACTGTAGACGAAGATGGCCTCCTCATAGCGCGAAATCAGGCTCTTCAATACCAATGGTCCACCAACAGCTCTGACGTATCCGTTTCAGCCGGAGACGGAAGCGTGTTAGAGGCGTGCACTCAGCACGCATCTGGTACCTGGGCCATGCAACAACCCGAGGGTCAATCAGTAACAGGTCGGATGGCGATTCACAAGAGCGATATTACGTCGACCCGATGCGAGGTACACGCGCTGATGGCCGGGTTGATAGCTTCTGGGGACTGCGGTCAACAAGTATGTGACAACCAAAGCGCGATACAGATCTTCAATAGGGCACGCAAAATTGCAAACGGCGATGCACAGCCCAAGTACCGGGATCCGCATCGAATCGAAATTCGTTCGTTGCAACGTCTTATGCACGAACACGGCACAATGGTACCGAAATGGGTTCGGTCTCACCAAGAACATGTGGCGACTGACGATATAAGCCTGCAACAAGAGCGATCGGCACTAGCGGTGGTTGATACTGCGGCTGGGGCGGCCCATGAACAGCGAATGACGATGTCGTATGCGGGTTGGGCTGACTTCGATGAGTACATGGTCTACGACGGTGAAAATCGACTAGTTTTTGGTAGCACAACAAAGTACTTGAGGGAGCGTTCGTATGCTGATAGACGTCAGAAATGGATCGCAAAACAACACCGTCACAATGAAGACCGGCACACAATGGCATACGATGAAATCCCCATGATAACGACTGGAAATTGGTCAGAGGCACTGTGCCGTTTCTACTGGCGTGCCAAGCTGGTGGCTTTGCATACACATGCAGTAAAAATCACATTCGACAGCCGATGGTCCGCGGTATGCGTTAGCCGCAGCTGCAGCGAGGCCGACACACAGCAGCACCGATTTGGGCTTACGCAGCCAACATGCAGCGAGGTATCTGACCTTACAAATATGCTCCGAACAATGTATGTGGAGGTGGAGCGTAAGTTTTGGCTTCCTGACCAGATACTGTTACTTCCGTCATTAGGCCATACAATTGCCTTAAATCTACTACTCCCGACCAGAGCGATGTGGAATGATACGGTTGCCAAGACGACGATATGGAAACCTTTCGTACGGCTAACAGATGGTGTGTGGGTCAACACATAGTGGATTGAATGGTTTGGCGCCCCACACGTCTTGAGTAGGAACCCGACGTTCATCAGAGTCATAAGAGAGGAACAGTCTCTGCGGAAACAGGCTCCAGGAGGCCGGCTACTGCCGACTCGACTGATCGACGCAGTTCGGCAAATCGACCCTGACATTGGGCTCTACGACGCGCTACCAGGGCAGATTACGCCTGGGTGGTCAGCGGCGACGTTAGCATTGGACGCTAGCGTCGACGAGTTTGAACACCTACACCCGCTCGTCGACCCGCAACAGGTACAGAGCTGGTGGATCGATGACATATATGTGCCTCACTCATCCGTGTGGTGGGATTAATGTCTCCTGTCACAAGGTGGACGCATTTACTGGGTCGCGGCTTTCACCAACTCGGTGGGTTTTGCAAAGTGTACCAGCGCTGGATGCTGCTGGCTCGTTAGGGTACTAGCGGGAGAACTCCATATGCGTTCGGACTACTCCGTTATACAGACGGAACACCATCAACCGTTTAAAGCTATTTTCTCAAAGAACACGCTTGCAATTACGATCGGAATTGTATCGCCTCCTCCGCGGCTCCGTCGTATAGTCAGCAAGGCCCGACGCATCTGGACCGGTACGATGGACCAGTTCGGTGCGTCTGAGTGGCTCATTCACCCCCAGTCGGACGAAAATCAAAATCAAGGCCCTACTCTAGGGAATCACCCATACTTTGAGTGGTATACCCCACTATCGGATCCAGGTGCGTTTCCGCTATGGTGGAGCCGCGTGCGGCAACAATTGGATCGCCTCGACCTTGCGATCTACACGGCCCCGATGGGGTGGAGGTGTTACTCTACAATGACCACCCGCAGCGTGACGTGGGCGGAAGCCATGTCTTATACTAAACGCGGTGCTCGACTCCTTCACAATCAGCTGTTTCTCGGAATATGGGAGACATTGCACGAATATTGGAAGATCAGCTGCAAGCGCTGTAACACCGAAGTTCGGCGCCGTCGACGTAGAACCCTGTACAAGGTGGTCAATGCTGGCATTGTGTCCCGACGGAAAAAATGGGCCAAGAAGACTAAGGAGCGGGTGACGCATGCTATCAGCACGAGAAATGCGAATCTTCGATCCCGGGGCAGACGGTGGGCCGACGACCGGAGACATCGATTAACTGAGCATGGGAGTCGGCTCGGGGCCTCTTAATTATCAACTGAGACCTCATTTGGACGCGACGCACGAACATGACAAATACCAACAGAGCAACTACTGGCTTGGTGGAGTGGCGCTCGACCATGCCAAGCCCTTCAAAACCCTGGATAGACCTGCCAACACCGGTGGGTGCCTCTTCAGGGGCCATGTATATGTATATTCTCTTTTCTTTGGTAGCTACCGCAGGAACTAGGCTAACACTTAAGGTCTGTAGGCGAGGATGCAGCGTAGCGCGCCTCGGGCGTAGTCGCCATAACCGCAACAAATTCAAATTCAAACACCAAGTGAATGAATAATTTGCCAACAACCCAGAATCTGAAGAGCCGGTAGATCAGCGTTTCTGCAAGTGTGCCCTTTGAGAAACGACTATCCTGATCTCGGATTTCTGTGGTTTCATTGGCTAATTAAAGTGTTAGAACCATTGGATTGGTCAGTTTTTTTACTACCTCCGCTCGGAAACAGATAACCATTTGTTTTTTTTTGTGCAGCGCTCCGCTTCAGCGTTTATTAATTTGTGAGAGGCTGGCTAGCTAGCTTTATGACCGAGAGCTGACAGTGAGAAACTAAGCAAGGCACAGGCGTTCATGCTCCGCCGTGCAACTACAGATACAAAAACGGATCTAAGACGGCAACTACATCGCCACATTCTGAAGGGGCGCTCAGTGAGGCTTCTGGAACTTCAGCGGTAGGCGGTGGGGGGCTGCTCGCTGCAAGAAGCAGCATGTACGCGTTAGCATTGGCGAGTGAGGTAGCGTCACAAGGCAGTGACGTACGGAGAGTGTCAGCTCGTACTTGCTTGTCCTTGTGCCGGAGGCGCGCCAACTTGTGCGTGGGGGGCGGGTCTGTCTGAGCGCACGCCGTATGTAGCCTCGGGAAAGCGCGGGAGATTCGAAATCCAAAAAGTGATCGGCATAGAGGGGGTATTGTTTTGGGTAGGCTGTAAGATAATTTGAAATGGTTATCCTTTTCAGAGCGGAGGTAGTAATTGCTACAGCTAATTGGTGGGTTTTCATTATTCGCTTTAAAATTGGTGGAAAATGAGCTAATGACACGTTAAAGTTCCACTAAGTTCGATTTTAGCAAGAACTTTCAGATTACCTTTGTGATGATTGGACGATCCGGTTAGATGCGTGGAGAAGCTTACCGACATTCCTATCTCAAAGGGCACACCTACCCAATCTCAAGAAAGGAGTATGTGTATCACATGTGAACCAGATTTTGTGGGAAGGAAGTATTACATTATATAGTCGAAAAACATACAAGACGGGATCCTCTTCATTTTTCTAAGCCTCAAAAGCCTCGAGGGTGGTGGTTACATTCACAGTGTTCTTCTACTACTGTAGCACTAGAGACAAATCTTCTGAATAGAAGCACCAATTTAATCGATCGATGTACACGATCGTCTAAGCCAAAACGGGGATGGCCTGAGGGTCCGTGTTGAACATTTCGTTCGGGTCGACCTCCGTCTTGATCTGCTGCAGCTTCTTGAAGTTACCACCGCCGTACAGGTATTCGGCCATCTCCGGCACCGTCCACTTCTCGTCACGGTAGGTCGTGAATCCGCCGGGCACACCGCCCGAAGCCTTGTAAGCATCCACGAAGCTGTAGAAGCCCTTGCGCATCGTGGCAATCGAGCTGTCGGCAAATTTCACGTCGAACGTAGCCGTACGCATGTCCCAACGAACCAAGTGCAGGTTGTCGTCGTGTTTCCAGGCCGAAGCGTCAGCCTTGACTGTCTTGGCGTACGCACCACCCCAGATGTCCACGAAGCCGGAGGCTGACGCGTCCGGAAGCTTGGGAGCGAAGGCTGTACCGGAAAACAGCTCCCAGGCGGTGGCGTTGTCAAGCGGAGTCGAGCGAGGAATGGTCACCGATGCGATGTAGAAGAAACGACGGGGAGTCAGAGTCTCCTTTTGAAGGCCGGGGGTCGAAATGTCCTCGGACGTCCAGAAGTCGTTTTCGCTCGTGGTCAGGACCATGGAAGCGGGTAGGTTCTTCATGAGCGAGCCCAGCACGGCCTTAGCCTTGGCGCCACCTCCGTAGAAGAAACCCTGCAGTGCGGACTTGGTCTTGAGGCTGAAGCGGATAGACACCAGGTCGTTGTTATCCTTGCTGAGGGCCCATGTCTGCGTACCAATAAGGGCATCCACGTTGTCCTGCTGAGTGGGCTTGTAGCTTGAGTTGAAAGCGATAGTGTAATTCGTCACACGCTCCGAAGGGGGCTCAAGGGTCTTGATCTTAAAGTCCAGTACCACACCCATCGAGCTGGCAGCACCACGCACACCCCAGTAGACATGCGAGTTGTGATTAGCATCGGCATTCACGATGGAACCGTTGGCAAGAGCCACACGGACCGACTCAATGTTGTCGAGCACAGTACCACTAGCACGTGAAAGGGTGCCGAAACCCGAAGCAGCCACACCGGTCATGCCGACATCGGGGCAACGGCCGTGGGGAAGAGTGCGCTTGTACTTGTTCCACATGAAGTTTGCGGCTTCCGAGATCATGACGGGGCCACCGTAGGACAGCAACTTCGTAGACGCGTCGTACTTAAGGTGCTTAAGAGCTTTCAGGTTAATGACAAGAGCTCCATCGTTACGGCCAAAACCCATGCTGGAGAACGAGCGGTTGCCACCCAGCGTGGTCACCTTAACGCCAGCACTAGCGGCGCACTTCAGCGCAGCCGTCACCTCCTGCTCCGTCTTGGGGAAGGCGACAGCGTTAGGCATGGGGTTCACACGCGAGTTCCACGGTTGAATATCCATCGTCCAAGTCGTGGTGGTGGGGACCGAGTTCTGGATGCCAGCCTTAGTCAAGCAAGAACCGACGTCGGCCTGAGCACCGGCACCAGCGGCAAAGCCGCCGTTGGCAGCGATTACGGAGCATAGAGCAAAAATCGCCCGAGTGGCGCCGGAGACCGAAGTAACCATGAGTTGCCTTGTGCTTGCGGTCGAGCGAGGTTGACGACTTGAGTGCTGGAAGGCGAATGCGAAAGTGAGTCAACCGTGGTTTGCTGCACCATGAGGCGGGTCTTGCGGCTAATTGCATACGGTATAATGTCAATACATGTGTACATGTACTGCATGCACAGAACAAGGGTTATTAATAAGTCCTGCCTCAGGAAGTTTGCGACCACCATAAACACCAGCAGATCAACGCAGCATCGTAAAGGTGTGCTGCGAAAGGGCTTATTCGACCATCTGACCATACATTTGACTGTCAACTTGACAGGCTTTTGTGGCAGGATCGTCCGCTGGGCCAAGCCCAAGATTAACACGCCGTTTCTTTGCCACGATCAATTTGACGAAGTGCTTTTAATGTGGGGGTGGCGTGCGTTGTAGATGCCATCGGATCCTCCGGTGAAAACAATATGGTGTTTTCACCGGAGAGTCCGTTCGCAAGATTGACAAGTACCCATTACCTGGCACTTTGAGTACATATATTCTCTTTTCATATTAGATGTTCCTTATTGATGAGGAAACGAAAACGTTGCAAGTACAATAAATTGCATAGGCTTTCGGCATGCCGATAACCTTCCGGTATGCGAATTATAACACTGTAAAGCTGTACAGTAACATCACGCTTCCAATGGGTACGTTAAATACAATGCGAATTATGCTTTGCAATTTTTTTATAATATGACAATATTATTGAGATGCTTGAGACAGACCGGTAGCATACGACAAAATTAGATACTTTGGATACCCAACAAAGCACGTTAAAAACTATATGTGGGCAGTCAGAAAGACTTAGAGCATTCCAGTATTACTGTATGCAAACTACATGTACACTTTGCTACAAATTTGCCATTTTAAAATTAAAAAAGTTGTACAGTATACCACGGAGTCGCATCTAAATACACCAGCCAATTGAAGCCCCCCCAGCATCTATTCAGCTTTGGTTGCACACCTTTTACTTGCAGTCGTATTTTTAATACGTGTTTTTGTGGATATCTTGCTGATCACCACCAATAGCACAGAACGTGAAGAAGGATTATTTTCATTCAAAATTGAAGCTCTCTGGAAATATAGGCTGGTCCATATATCAGTGACGTATGCTCCTAACAGCTAAGCTCTCCAGACGTGATTTCATTGAATTTGAATTTGTTGCGGCTAAGTCGGTTACCTGCACTCCAGATATGATTGCAACCTATTCACACTTGTCCTTCTGCTAGATCAGATTATTTGTTTTTGTTTCAACCAAAGTTATTTTAACTTACGAAATTAAAGTAATGTGGGCTCATCAGCTAGATTTAGTGTAAGTTTCAAGCACGAGCTATCGCATTCTAAGCACTTACAGTACGCGTCCATGATTGGATTCGGGCGAGCACTCGCATCGAAGACATCAGAACTGACATGGGTCAGAAAAATGGTTGGTAACAATGCTTCCGACTCACCCTCGCATTTTGTAAAAATGCTATTTCACACTTTTATTTCCTCAATTTAAAACTGAAGAGTTCAGGTGGGACATAGAGAATCATCGCAGTGGGTACTGCGCTCAGAAAAAGTGCAGAGCACCCTTTTTTAAGTTCTCAAAAATACCTTTTGAAAATGAAGATAATTCTACCAGGGGAGACCTACAGTATCAAAGCGGATGTCCCCTTTTTTAATTCTCAGGATTCCCTCTTTTCGGTCAAAGGGGCACAATTCTAAAAACCCGAGGACATCATCAGGTCAGACTAACATGCTTTGGTTTATTTCATTTTCTTATAAATATACCATACGTACCAAACGATTCCAAATTTTTTTTCGGGAATTGCAGAAGGTTTCCCAGCTAGCAGCTGGATGGATTTCTTCTCTTGCTTACATTCAGCTCCTTGAATTAAGTACATGTACATGTATTACTTTTATATTATGTATCAAAAATGTTTTCAATTTTTTTTTATATATGTTTGTCAGCACCGAATTGACAGTAATACTATTAAATAATGTCATACCTGATCAAAAACTCATGTTTTTACAAGTCTGAAAAACAATTAAGAATTTTGTATTGACCACTTTAGAATGTACCTGTAGAGAAAAAGATAAACTTTATTCGCTTTGATTGATTAATGCCAAAACATAAATAGCATTAGACTTGAGTATTATTTTTATAAAGAAATATTTGAGCGAAGGTTTTCGATCACCCCTCCCATTCGAACCAAAACATAAATATAGTCATCCACCATGGCCTCGAAATATTTTAAAAGCGTTAAACTTGCTACGGTAAATAAAAAATATTACGTTTTGGCTTAAATATTTTCTAGCGTAACCCGATTGAAATTGATTTCTCGTTAAAAATCCGGAGCAATCCGGAGGTGTATGCTTTTGGGACTCAAAGTAGACCAATGCTTTTATTTAACCAATCGAAGCAGCAAGAGCGGTCGGTCGTACCGACTGGCCGTTCCATAATGATAGGACGATAATTCTTTTTTTTATGGATTCCCTTTATTAACATGCTAGCATAAAAGCGGGGTACGAAGGTACCGTCGGGCAGGACTTATTGTAACCTCCTGGATCGATCAATATACTATTTTACCACGATAAAAGGCTGAAATGTAGACTTTCCGCCAATCAGGATGCGCGAAGAAATATGCAGTTACCGCTGGGAGATTTCACAATAACTGCTAGGAGGGTGTTGAAAATGCGATGGTTCTATCTAGATGGACTTAAGCTTATCACAGGTATCGGACCATTCTGAAATTCAAAGCATGCTCTACGATGGACGCGTTCAAGTTTCGCCATTGCGCATGGGCGTGGACACATCCAGCCCGGCCTCGGAGCAAATTCGCCCACTACGTCAGTAGCCCTGCTGGACTGGTGATTGCGTGTGCGCTTGATGCACCTGGGTATATGAATGATTCTCAAATCAATGAGTGGGGGGAGGGTGTACTTGAGGATTCAGCCTTTCTACCAGCACAAAGGCGGGCCAATGATTTTTAAAGGGCGCCTATGACCTCTTGCTAAAGAACAGAGAAGACTGGTAGCAACACTTAAACAGGCAGCTAAGTGGGGAATACTTGCGCGGCAGGTTACCTTCCTATGATTAAATAACCGATAAAAGTACGAGAACCGAGGAGAGTGCAAGCGCATCTGCTACTCGATAATGCTCTTGTTCAATCATCGTATCCGCCTCAACCAGATCCTATCTACGTTTACGCTAGTAGTATCGATAAAGCGACATTTGAACTGTTTCAAAACTAGCCCAGCAACTTATTTAATATAAAAGTTATATGTACCAATTCGCCTGAAAATGTATATTAAGTATTTTGCAGGGTTTTAGAAGCATCACCAGCAATAGGATTAATCCCCGAGTTCACAATAGGTACCATATTTTTCTCATACAGATCGGGGCACCGGTCAACTTCCTCACGCCGCGCGCGCTCCTTATGGCGGTCTTGCTCTCTCTCTGGCGGCGCACTTCTTCCCGGCTGCAGCGCTCCTCATCCAAGCGCTCTTGGTGCTGCTCACGCTTTTTCAATTGGCTCTGCTGCAACTGCATCCGCATGAACTCTATAATCTCCTCATCACCGTCGCCATTTTGAAGATGATGTTAGCTAGAGGTCAAGGCACATCGATTCTTGGCGTGATTAGAGAGCCTTGGGCGATTGGAGATGCTTGCGGTACAGTCGATTGGGAAGACGACAAAACGGTGGATGTTGCGTTTGGGACAAGCATCCTTGGGGAGGGGGATTGAGCTTGATTATGCTTTTTCTGGCTTGGTTCCGGCGCTATGCAATGTCGTTCTCGCTCACTTCAGCTCTCCTTCCGATATACTGAGTCGCTCAATTCGGGTAACGTACACGCTTCGCAGTGCAAACTTCAACAGGGCACATAGGGTTCCCCCAAAAACTGGCACAAGCTATTGCAGCACGTAGTTTCCTGTAGCGCACTTGGCTGCATAATGTGCCCACTCCAAACGTTAGCGGCGAGCGCCGTTTTCAATGGGCCCGCACCGTACTTCGCCGTATTCTCCGTGATCTTGTTGGTCAAATGTGTAAGTAGACGAGTAGCAAAGAACAACCGCAACAGTCCACTCACCGCCACGGCGATGAAGTGTAGAGCCCGAGGTCGGGTGGTGATCGCCGCAGTAGGTGAGCTCGCTGGGAAAGTGCGCTTGTGGGCTTATGAAAGAAACAATCGTTCCGATGAAAGAAAACGACGACCTCGCTCAATCGCATTATCTTCCTAAACAGATAACTCAATTCTAGCGGTGGAAGTGCTTATATGCAAAAGCATGTTTAGAGTTTTTAAAATATATTAAACGGCTTTTATTGCTTTAAATTTACCACGTACAAGTTTTACTGTAAAACAGAGTTTATCACCCCGATAGCACATTACTAGGCTCAAGCGGGTGAAAATGTATTCCACCCGTTTGGACAACACTAAAACTATATTTTGAGACAAGACAGTCGCTAAAATTGTGGAGGGCGACTTTTCAAAGATGCTAAAAAACGGTGCCGATTTAGTATTTTGGGGGCTATCAGACAGTCCAAATTGTATATTTCGCGACTATTCGGCTATCTTGGTTTTTGTAAAGGCGTTTGTCGAGGTTTTGCCAAGGCTGCTCAGCTTTATATATACGATGTCAAATTTATACGATGTACCTTTCTTTCACTCCACCGGTAGAGTGAAAGAAAAGGTAAATATCCCCTCGTTTGGGGTACGAATAAGCAGCGTTGTAAATTTACTCCTGGTAAGCTCGCACTGGTACAAAGTAAAATCGGAGTAAAATGGTTTGAGAAGAGTCTTGTGCAGCTATACGATGGAGGCAAACAACATGCAGAACGGCGTAGAATCCCGTACGATTTCGCTAATTGCTCGTACGCTTGATGAGGCTGGATGGCTAAAAAGGAAAGGCTGTCGACTCACATCCAGCTGTCTGGCTCACCGCTATCGTCGCGGTGCAAGGCTTGCACTGCAAGCAAATTTTCAAGCTCATTGCTGATTTTTGTTGTTGATATACTCATCTATCCAAGAGCCCACTGGTCAACCTGTTT